AAACTATACTTGAGTTATTTGTTTTTATAATTCAATAGACTCCAAGATTCATCTTGCTTTTAAAGACCTGAGGGAGCCAAAAGCCAAAGTGTGAGTGTTGATGACAAAATGTGTAGGAAATTAATACTGATAATTTCAGGTTGGAGCCATACAGAAAAGGTATAGAAACTGTGAGTGGAAAATGGCAATGAACTTTAGTAATTTCTTGGAGAGTGCTTATGAAAACCTTAGCAGCAAAGTAGGTAATTCTCAAATACTTAAAGAGAAGGTACTCTGGATATCATGTTAACTCAGCAGCCTGACTACACCTCTGGAGAATAATAACCTTTGCTTCTCTCTAACATCCAATTTTTGCACAATGTCCTTTCATGGTTTTAATTTACTATTCTGAGAAGGAAACTCTGGGAAATGGCTTCTTAATTGTTCCTCTACTGTTAGTGAACAACTAGGAAAGTCATGTGTGATGTTGACTCAGCAACCTATAATTCAATGAAGATTTAATGACTAAAGCATGGTATCAGAGAATGCAAAGCACTGCTTCTATCACTGGCTCTGCTCAAAGAGTGGCACATGCCTGTAATCCTAGTGGTTTAGGAGGCTGATGCAGGAGAATCTTGAGTTCAACACTAGCCTCAGCAAAAGCAAGGAACTAAGCAGCTCAGTGAGACTCTAAATAAAATATAAAATCGGGATGGGGATATGGTTTAGTGGTCAAGTGCTCCTGAGTTCAATCTCATTACTCCTCTCTCCCCGGAAAAAAAAAAAAAAAAGAGCGATATCAGTGTTGTGGACAGGTGAGGAGGGATAAGAAGTATTTTTCAATTCTTACTCAATTTCCTCCCATAATATAGGGCTGTTTGAAATTCCTGTTTATTATGAATGCTTAAGTCCATGAAATCTACTAATGTTGATGTCCTGGTTGGTAAGCATGGTTTTACAGGGCAAAGTAGATAATTTCTGATGTAGTGAAGAATCAGGAAAAAAGAACAACCTACGTAAGAAAATATATTACTATTAAAGCAATTTAATTTTGCCAATCTAAAACAGGTCTATGTTTTATGATCTCTACATATTCCTGTAGAACAATATCTCTACTCCAAGCTCTTCTAGGACAAATACTTCTTAGTCATTGAATTACAATCCCTAGGGAAAAAAAAAACTATGCTCATTCATTCTTTCATTTATTACTACTCCAAACAGTTATCTAAGAACATGTATTGTACTAGACAAAATAGACATGCTCCTGGAATTTGAATAAAGATAGTTTCATTGACAGTGGAATGAGGTTTATAAAATAAAATGCATAGGACAAGAAATATATTTGAATGCATGTATGATTATATCAAAATTAACTGAAGTATTATGTATAGTTATGGTGCACTACAAAAACATTTAATAAAGATTGGCCTTAAGTTGATAACTTCTTAATACTCTGATAGATGTATTCTTTATGAAACTGTTATCTATTTCTGTAAATATAAAATTATTAGATATAAAATGCTTAGCATATGACCTTGCATAGCATAAGCTTTCAAGATTAACATTTTTTGGACATTTCAAGAAATTTAGGATACTAGCTGTGAAAAAAGGCTCTGAATATGGCCTGCTGTTGCTTCTCAGTCTGGGACATTAGATCTTCTCTAAGTGAACCCAAAGGTGTTGATCTAAAAAGTGGCATAATTTACATATTTCCATTCCAATTGTTTATATTGAATTATGTATGCAAAATTTAATTTTTTTTTACAGAAAATCTCAAATTATACTAGTGCATCACAACACTTAAATTTTTATCCAATAGTTCCTTTAGTTGTTAACCCATAAGTAAGTTTCATTTGCATAGTATTAATCTTGTATTGATAAGATGCATTGACAAAACATTTTTAAAATGTTGATAGTTGTAAATGTTAACAGCAAGGTAGTTTGATCATTATACACCTTATGTCTATATTGAATTATTAAATTATAACATTATATCCCATATAGTTGTACCATTAAAATAATAATTAATAAAAAGGTATGTTGCATTGAGATTCTTTCATTATGGCTGTTAAAAACAGCCAGGTGTGGTGGTGCATAGCTGTAATCCTAGCCACCCTGGATGCTGAGGCAGGAAATCCACAATTTTGAGGCCAGCCTCAGCAACTGAGCAAGGTACTAAGCAACTTATGAGACCCACTTTCAAAATAAAAAAGGGCTTGGGGATATA